GATGCTGGAAATTATGATATTTCCACAGCCCCCTTCACAGCTTCCCAGGTGGGTAAAATCCTTGAAAGAGGCCCAGTGAAAGGATGCCAACTGGGGAAGACCTAACCACAGGGCTCCTGTGGAGCTGACCGCTAGGTACAGGCACAGCACAGAAGAGCACGACCAGCCTGGACGCGCACGGTCGCATCTGAGCTTGGGACTCGAGCAGTGCTGGACCTGGATGGGAGACCACCTGGGAATCATAGGTGCTGTAGATGGAAAGCTGTGATCAAACACAATGAATCAACAAAAACTGAATGAATGAAACGTTTCCCTTTGGACCCAACTTTGTTGACATTTGTTGGTGGGAATTGAAAAAAAAGAAAGATAATAGGTTGTTAATAAATGGCATGCTTCTGACTTTTGTTGCTTACTCTGAATGAACGCCAGACCATGGAGGCTGCAGGTTTGTGTCCAGAAGACACGGTAACGTGGCAACTTGCAGATGCTCCTGGAAAATCTCTCAAATCCCTCTGTGCAGGCCCTGGCAACCTTTCCACTTCACACCACCTTTGGGCAGCACGCTTACTTATGGTGTTTACCCCGGGAACTTTCTGCATGTCTTACAGAAAACACTCGAGAGCTCCAGCCCCCACTCTCAATGTCTCTTCACATAGAGATTAACATGAGGCCAGCGTAGCACGTACTGTGTCTCTTTGCATGTCTTCCTTCTCAGATGCTTGCCAGTCCTTTGAGAGGAATCCGGAAAGCATCAGTGCCTCTAAACATTATTAACAGAGCAACTGGAGTAGCAGGGGAGTCCTTTCCTTTAAAAAAAAAGTTAAGCTCAATACAAGCCAGGGGACTCTGGGACTGTGTTCATCACAATTTAACTCCAAGGCCTCCTGGAGAAGTTGTGTGGACACAGCTAGAGGTGGGGGATATTCTACATAAGAAGAATGGGCTTTATGTCTCCGTCCCATAGAAAGCTACACAGGGGCATGTAACCTGTGCTGCAGATTTCCTATTATTCTTTCTCATAGAAAAATGAAATAGTGACACCCCTGAAGCTGAGGGGAGCTTTGAAACTGAATTCCCTGGAGCCAGAATTTCACCCTAAGTTTTTACAATAAAGTTTAACACTTTCAAATTCTGACACACATCTGCCAGTTTGACCAGGGTTAAAACCTTATATAAAACTGAACAGGAAATGCTAACATCCTGCAAGATACCTGAACCTCACTAGGCATTTGATAGAAGGGATAGCAGGCTATTAAATCCTGTAGTTTGGGATGCGCACACACATACATATACACATACATACTTTCTTAACTTTCTTAAAGTTCTGTGCAAACTGCAAAACAATTTCCCCATTAATTTAAACCATTCATTTCCCAAAAAAAGGAGATTAAAAATTATTTATCACCGGATGACAGTTTAATCTTATGAAAATTATAAAGATACCTACTGATAAATATTGTAGTCTTCAGCTTGTTCCTAGCACTGGCAATTGGAGAAAACAATGAAATTTCCACTTTAGTGGGTCAAACCAAGCAACATTTTGAGGTTTCTCCTAAACACAAAACGGTTAATTTTTTTTTTAAATTCACTCAGAAACGTTCGTCCTTTCTTAATGTTGACATTCTCACTTTTGCTCCGTACCAAAGGCCAAAAATGAGAGTCTGTGTTTTGCTTTGTTTAACTCAAAGAAAAGAAAACAGAGCAAAATAATGACAATCATAGAAGAGTAGGGCTAGAAAGGACCTTCAGAGTTCATCCAGTCCAATCCCTGGCCCAAGGCAGGATCATCCTTATTCATCCTATACAATCTATAATCTAAACTTTACATAAGACTATCATCAACCCTGACACAATAAAGTCATCACACCCTAAACTGCCACAGGTAAAGCTGGGACACTATGACAGCCAATGTCCGGCTCCTGTGAAATGTCGCCAACACATGCTTAAGAGATCTTAGGTAGAGGGTCCTGCCCCCAACACTACAGAGGAAGGCAAAAACCCTCCCACAGTCCATATCAATCTGACCCCCAAATCCCTTCCTGACCCCGAATATGGCCATCGGCCTGACCCCAAGTGGAGGTGTTAATGCACATGACCGAGCAAAAACATAGGACATGAACCAAAGACATTCCAGTCGCTGAGTATATTTTGGGCTCCCATTGGTTTCAAGTTCAAGGGGAAGCTACAGCGAGAACCTGGGACCTGTCTTCGTACCTACAGAGGACAAGATGCCATTTCAACCAAGAAGTATTTATGGAAAAGCCTTTCGGGGAAATGAGCAGTTGCAGCAGCCCTTTGTACCCGACATAACCTGGCCCAAAAATGCCTCCCCAGCCTTGGACACACCGAGTAGGGTACACACATCGTGGACTTGAAGGAGGTTGGGCACTCTTGCTCTGCATCTGTATAACAGAACCTGCCCATGCGCCCACCGCTACCCAACTTCCTTCCCAAACCAACATTTGAGAGGTGCATAATAAGGTATAACTTTGGTTTCTTTGTTGCTGAAGCTGACCTTTATCTTGGAAGTCCTAATGAAGTCCTTTGATGTGCTCCTAAGGTATGCAGCCGTCTTTTTAGCATTCTGCCTGTCTTGCCTGCTGCAACGGGTGGGCTCGCAATGAGTGTAAGTCTTCCTACAATGCTTCCCCTGGGTCCCAATTGTTCTTTTTTTCCCGTAGTTGCCCTTGAGTCATGCTGTCCTGCAACACTGCAAGCCCATAAGCCGCTTGTCAGTGGGGAATTAGGACAACGTGGCTTTCATTTCAATGCCAAACAAGCTAGCCTGGGCCCCGTCTTTGGATCCTGGCAGAAAGGAGCAATAAACAAAAGGTAGCGGGTGGGAAAGGAGAAGATAATTAGCTAAAAAATGCAGTGGGGAGGCTATTGTCGGGCTGGTGGGTGAAGATGACTCAAGCTGCCACCAGAGCGCTTCGCAGCTCACAACCACCTTCCTCAAAGCAGCTGCTGCTGGCAAGAGAGTTTTAAAATCCTTTCCAGAAACTCAGGCGTGTGTCTGCTATTAGCTCTCTGCATTAAAAAAAAAAAAAAAAAAAAAGGAGTAATTTGGAGGCACATACCCCGTAGGCGCACTCAGCAAATTGGCCAGCCTAATTATTATTTTTTGGTGTGTCTAATTAAATAGACAAAAGACCATCCCTACACCCTCACAGTCGGCTCTGGCTCTGTCGGAGCGCGCAAAATGCTTCCTCAGGCTGCAAGCAGCTGAGATTCGCTCCCGTAGGAGGTCATCCTTTGACAAGTGCCCTTGGCATACCCCAAAATACTGAGACAAGGGGCCAAATCTCCAGGCGGTGCAAGCGGATGCATCTCCTTCAGAAACAAGGGAGCTGCAGAGAGGGGATTTTGATCTGTGCCGCAGGCAGGATGCGTGGTGTGGCCATTCTCTACGGTTATGAACTCACCATTTGGTGGACCTGGCTTGGTTATCTGCAAACCGGGGGCCAAATCCTACTCCGTCGACTCATGTGAGTCACCCCTGGACATGAATAGTGAGAGGCTTGCTTTCTTGCAGCACTTGCCCAATGCCCCCTTATCCCATGTAATTGCACCGCTCTTACTGAACCCCTGTCAACTACCCTTTCACAATGCCTCGTCTTTATCTATAATCTGCATACAAAGCTTCCCATTCAGTTCTGCCACTGGTGAATTTCAGCCTCTAATTAATTTGATGAAAACCTCTGGAACCCAAATCCTTTGACTAGAAAGAATACAGCTTCGGTTCCTTTGCTGAGATCCATTTCAGTGCCTTTAGGCAGCTGTTCCTGGATAATTCAACCACTGCCAATAGAAAGATGCTATTTACATTAATGAGGAAGGGACCACATCTATGCAAAAGATAAAAGGGCTGGTTTTTTGTGTGTGTGTATTACCCAGAGAAGAGCCAAAGCATTGTTAAAAGACAAGTCTGGCCTATTCAGAGATCGTTACTGATGTACGTGCACAAACATCCTTGCTGGTTATGTGGAGGCACTCTCCCCTTATGGCAATCAGAGAGTAGGAAAAGATTTAGTGGGGAGGGAGGAAGACGTCATGAAGATCGAAATATCTCTCTGCACCCGTAACATAAATTTGGTTAAATAAACAATCCCAAATAATATCTATTCTTTGTTCTTCATAACTAAAAATGACACATATGTACCACGACACCTGTGCTGGGGTGACACCTAAGAAGCAGCCTCCAGGTTTTGAAGGGGACAGTGCAGCATCACCTAATAAAATCTGTTTGAACACCCCCTGAAGGAGGCAACTTCTTGTGTGTGTGTGTGTGTGTGATCTATTGAATGATCAACGAAGCAGAGGGTTCAAAGTTTGCCTTATCCAGGCAGGTAGATACACACAGGCAGATTCTGATCTCTGTGACACACGTGCAAACCAGAGACCTGCGCATCACTCATAAAACTGAGATGAGAGGGGGTATGCATTTGTGTATGCAACTCATACCACCAGCCGAGAATACACAACACACTGCACCTCTCTCAATATTTCCAAACGTACATATCCAGTCTCATTTGGCTTTCCCCAAAGTTAGGGAAGAGTCAAGGCATCCTCAATTACCCGGCAGACAGCACGGCCACAGTAAAACAGAGATGCAGTCAAACACAACGCCTTGTCCTAACTGAACGTTAACACCTCTGCAGCTTGGCCTAACGGTGGCGCGTGGCAGGCAAAAAAAAAAAATAAAGTTGCCATCGACACCGTTAAACTTTGTTAAGTCAGCGCCTGATGCTTCACTTCTTAACGAGGCAGTTATTTGTTTCCCAGGCAATCGCTGGCACCTGCCTGCCTTTTAAAATCAAATAATAATTGAATATGAGGAAAGCGAGACGAAGTAAAGGAGATTTAATAAAGAGAATCTTTGCTGCAGAGGGAATTTTTTGGCAGTGATTACGTTACTAATTGATCAGCACATTGCCTGAGAGAAGCCAGAGACAACAATTATACTTAGCACTGTGGCTGAGAGCAATGTAGTCTACTACCTCCTCGGCTTTCGCTGTCCGCTGGCTTCACCTGGATCGGTCTGTTCATCTGCAAGGAAAAACAGAGAAGCACAATTAGCAATGGGACCACGGACACGAGGTTCTCTTCTTCTTGCTTGTTTTGCCTTGTGTTGGTGGTGGTGTGATTTTTTTCAATGCGGAGCTTTTTTAGAGCCTGGTTTTCTTCACGTAGAAAGCAGCCCCAAACCAACAACCTGCCCATGGAGTGAATGACATTAGCCCAGGATCCCCGTTTGATGGTAACTAGTGTTGCTTCGTTGACTCTAGTAGGGATTTGCTTACTAGTGCTGGGAAAAGGGGGGGTCAGATCCACCTAGAGCTGGCCATGAACTTTCCCACAAAAAATAAAATAAAAAAAAAATAAAAAATAAAAATAAAAAAAGATCCTTTGCTTGGAAAACGATGGTTTGTCAAAACAGAAGCATTTTCAGAAACGCAGCCATTTTGATGAAACTTTTATAGACCAGGTTTCGCAGGAATGGGAAATGGCTAACCAGCCTGGTGGTTAGGGCACCCCACTGGCAACCCTTGGCTCAAGTCCATCAGACTCGGGACTTGAGGCTAAGCTTCCTACATCCCAGGGGGCTATACTGACCACACGACTCTTAGCTAGGCAGAAGGCCGGTCCCTGCCTCGTTGTTTCCAGGAAAAATGGGGGAAGGTCTCACTTGGAAACTTGGGAATATTGTTTCTAAAATGGGATTCTTGTTTGCAAGCCAGGCTTAGTCCCGCTATCCGTCACTAAAGCTTCAGTAACCCTAGAGCAGCTCAGTACTTGGGAGGAGGAGAATCAGGTATCCTCGCTCATTTTGCCTAATGTTAGGGGAATATCTAAAGCACTGCTGTGGGTTAGACTGGATACAACTGAGCTTTTCATCTCAAAGGATTTCCATGGTTCCTTCCACATCACTTTGGGGTATGGAAACAATACAAAAACTATTCATTTTGTAACCCTGATCCATGTGCAGCCACCTCTGGGGTGGGTCACGTTAGCCACTTAAGAACTGGCCACAGGACAAAGAGCATTCAGAGCAGGACGTAGGAACTGGGTGGGCAGAAGGAGCAAGAAACCTTCACCACCTGCATTTCCAATAAGAAGCCAATTGCAATAGGGGTGCAGTGCTGGTCGGGGTATGACCCATTTGACGAGGAGCAGGGAGGGCTGAAATGCACCTTGCATGCCCTTCTCTTGGCTCACAGAGGTGTTTTTTGCTCCTGGAGAGAATAAGGTGGGTTTCTGAGTTGGCCAGAGCTCTTCTTCAAGGCTCTGCAGCTGGACGTGGTGCTGCCTCTTGCAGAGTCTGGCTGCTAGCCACCGTCTAGACAGGGCACACATCAGGAGTCAAATAAAATGTTGAAGGATCCTGAGGCCCTCACATGCAACATATATCAACATTAACTAGTTCTGAGGATTTGTCTGCCTGCCAGCCTGCAACATGGGTACCAACAGCTTGAGGAGGAGCAGAGAAAAACCACAGATAGACACAGGCCTGGAAAGTGCAGGGTGGTTTTCCGGGGAGGTCTTGCAATGCTGTCAGCCTCAGCTAC